CTCTGCACCTCGCCCAAGGCCTCGAATTGAGCTCCCTGCTTGTGTAACACCCTTGGGTGGGTCTTCTCTCACGAGTGACGGACTCTTCCGCTTCCCTCCCTCTTTGAACGGTAGTCAATATCCAATGCCGAGGGGCGCCGTCATCCAGGAGTCTCGAAGAAGGGGCGTAGCGTTGGGCCGAGGGTCTTCTCTTCGTCGGGAATGGGAAGATCCTCCTTGGGGTCCGATAATTTGAGGTCGCTGATCTCTCTTGTCCCCCGCCTTTCGCGGCCTTTCTCCTCTCCGCCTGAGGGAGAGGTCGGAGGGGAGGGTGAGGGTGGGTTGGGATGGGGGTAGGGGTGGTTGGTGGTGGTGGTGGTGCGTGGCCGGCGGGTCGGTGATGGTCTTTGATGGATGACCGGGGGACTGACGAGAGACCGGGTGATGCGCAGCGGTATGCTCGGTGAACTGTGCCTTGATACCAATCTGTTCTGTCTCGCGCTGCGAATGGATGGGCAGCGGGAGTAGGGCTCGGCCTGGAGCCTCTGGTCACGTCTGGCATGCGCCACGGCTGATCCTCACACTGTCGATTTCATCAACGGTCTGCCGAGTCCACCGCGGCCGTCGGCGTGGTGGTTTACGCAAACAGCCCGCTGCTTATTTTATTCCCGAGCTGTCTGCGTGGACGTCCAACTACCACGGCTTCTGCCCTATTGGACGGACTGGGCGAGAACCGTGGCTGTGCTTGGCTCTGCAGATATGTGCAGTATCTGAGCCGCGGGACGCGTGGCAGCCGCAACTCTTTGCTCTCGGTCCACTACGGTTTGCAATCGCAATCCGTCGGATGGGGCTGCTATGGCCCTTTAGGAGTTATGATTGCCCGGAAACAATTGTCGCAAGCAATGTCTGAGGCCGCCGGCATGGGGCAACGAGATTGTCTCAGATGCATCGGGTCTCGACTCTCGACTTTATCCACCACTCCCGCAGGTCATGCACGTGTTTGAAGCTGAAGATCGATCTCCAACCAGGGGCAACCGTCCGAACGATGGCATGGATGGTTATTCTCGAATCACACATATCCTGGGCCTGGTGGAGTTTTTCCCAGCAGCGGAACCTTCAATACAAAAAGGCAGAACTGAGGATCGGAATCCTCCCCTCCAATTGGATCGGATGTCGAGACTTGGATTATGGGCGGTGACGGGGCTGCGACAGCATGTGCGGTGGCTGAACAGCCGAATCCCACGTTGGAAACAGGGCACGGCTGAGCGCCGCGAGTACCCCTGCTTCGGCATGCCAAGTCCCTGATGCAACCTGAGCCAGCTGGAGAATCATCAATACGTCATAGCTACCAATCACTCGAGCAGCCGAAAAAAGAAAACAAGCTGCCGAAGCTTTATTGTGGTTGGTCCACGCAGCTCTGTCACTGGGTTCCCCGGCGCAGTGCCGTGCCGTCACAAGCGCGAGCCCAGAAACCCAGCAGCCCAGCAGCGCTGGTGGATCGGCATCGTAGCACCTTGAGGCGTCCCTGGACTCGGAGGAAGCCCCGATGACGTTACTCGTTCTTGTTGCTGCGACACCATTACGACAGAAAGCTGGGCAGGCAATCCTAGGGATTGGATCATGGACCTGTTTGTGCCTCGTCTCGTCTGAAACGTAAAACCTCTTATATGCCGCCGTCTGTCCCCCTTCTCCCCTCTGCTGTCCACAAGCCACGTCTCTGTGCTCCCAACGCCCGTCATATTCAAACTCGTCCTTCCGCCCACGGACTATCACGTCCTCGCACTTGTTCACATCCATCTTGACTGGTCCCAACCAGCAAAACACCACGACCATGGCACGATCGACGGGCTTCTTCCACCACATCGGCACCTTTCTCCTATTTGCCGCCACCATCCTACTCATCGTAACATGCATCTCGGCCCCCGTGGTCCACAACCTATCCCTACTCAGAGTCGACCTAGGCGGTGACAATGGCCGCGGCGAGACCGTCACGTTTGGCACGTTTGGCTTTTGCCAGACCCGCCCTGAAGCAGAGTGAGCAACACCCCGTCCCCCAAACACTTGCTGTCACAAGTCAACAACGACTTACTAACCCCCACCCAGTGATTCCTGCTCGCAATCCCAAGTCGGCTACTCCCCCGCGGCGGTGATGACGCAGGCGGACGGCACCGAGTTCTCCGAGTACGCGGAGCGTACGACGCGGGCGCTGACCAAGGCCATGATCCTGCACCCGATCGCCTGCGGCCTCAACTTCATCGCCTTCCTGCTCGCCCTGGGCGCCGGCATGATCGGCTCCTTCCTGGCCTCCATGGTCGCCCTGCTCGCCTTTTTGACCACCGCCGTCGCCTGCATCATTGACTTTGTGCTCTTCAGCATCGTCAAGTCCAACGTCAACGACCGCGGCGGCGCCACGGGTACCGGTGCCTACTATGGTGCGGCTGCCTGGACGATTCTGGTTTCGGCGATTTGCTCGTTGATCGGGGCGGTTGTCGTCTTCTTCACGTGCTGCTCTGCGCGTCTGCACCGCCGTCGGGGTGTCGCCCACAAGACCGAGTATGCGTCGCCCCCGAGGCGGAGGCGCTTTTGGTAGATGTCTGGCCTGACCAAGCATATGTCTTGTCTGACGGTGAGCCGGTGAGAAATGGTGTTGGGAGGGGATAATGTTTGGTGAATTGGAATTATGTTGAGCGAAGATACCACTGTTTGTGTTACTATGACCAGGATGTTTGAGGGAAAGTCGAACGAGGGAGTTGGGTCAGTTTTGGGACGAGATATTTGATGTGTTTACAGATACCACGACGTTAATGTCTTGTTTTTTTTTTTTTTTTTTTGTATACAAACACGGCAACTAACTGCTACGACGACTCTCATTACCTAATGAATACCAATCATCTCAAAACCATCCCAAGGCTGCCAGGCTTAGCGTGTTGTTTCTCGTCGGATGAACTGATTGGGGCCAGGCATGGGTCTCTCTCATCCTCCACTTTTAGTTACTCCCCAGCCTTTGACCTCAACTTCGACTTTGCATCTCCGGTCTCCGGTCATCACTCACCAAAACACCTCACTTCACCAAAAAGCCATCGTAAAGGTCTCACGCAAATTGACACGGATGCGAAAAGAAATAAAATAAAATGCAGTATGCCTTCATTTCGGAGCTGGTCCGGCGCAACCGGTACAACCTCCGCATACTCTTGGAGTCACAGACAAGCGGGGCGAAGATCTCGGTGAAGCCGCGTCGGACAATGATTACTGTGGCTACGCCTGCTCCCGCTCCTGATTGCCCTCGCCTTCGCAAGGCTCGATCAACCTACCATCGACACTGTTATTTTCAGGCTTGTTTAATATTCTCACCGGCGTCATCTTCGGCATCCCCCTCCCGGTGCAACCCATGAAGGTACCTACCTACCCCCTCCCCTCCTCTACCATACCATCTCCCATCTCCCACCACATATCACCCGTAACTCACCACACCGTGTCTCGCCCACAGGCAATCGCCGCATCCGCCCTCGCCACGCCCCTCCCCCTCCAAACAACAACAGCAGCAGGCGCCCTCGTCTCCGTGGCCGTCCTCCTGCTCAGCGCAACGGGCGCCCTCCGCCTGCTCACCCACCACCTGCCCGTCCCCATCATCAAGGGCATCCAGCTCGGCGCCGGCCTGCGCCTCGTCACATCCGGCGCGGCACTGGATCCTCCCCCTTTTCCTGGGTCACCCCGGCCCTCGACAGCCGACTCTCCACCGCCATCTTCTTCCTCGCGCTCTTTCTCACCCAGCGCATCCCGCGCTTCCCCTACGCCCTCATCCTCTTCCTCCTCGGCCTGCTCGCCGCCCCCCTCTCCTCATCCCCATCCACATCCACCACCAACACCAACCCCCTGGCCATGGCACGCCCCCCTCTCCCAAATCAAC